TGCTACCACTGGGCTAGGCTGGGCAGACGGCTGGGCGGGCCACCGAGGGAGACACGTTCTTTCTCCTGGGCCCTGGAGCCCAGCTCTGTCCTCATGCCCCCTACTCTGTCCCCCCTTAAGGGACACACCTCGGCCTCTCCACTGTCCTCCTGTCCCTCCACACACAGGGACTTCCTGCTTCAGACCTGGGTGTCATTCACAGGGACAGCTCAGAGAATCAGTGTGCCTGTTCTCAAAAGCGGGGAAGAGAAAGAGACCCAACCCCCAGAGGTAAGAGGGTGTCTGGACATCCTCTGGGCCCAGGTCGTGAACACAGGAGGCGCTGAAGCAGGGGGCTCTCCCAGAAGCGGCAGCCCGGTGGGAACACCTCTGCTGTCCTGCCAGAACGGCCCCACACAGAAGAAACTGCAGGCTAAGGCCCAAGGCATGGCAACATGCAACATGCAACACACAACATGCAAACAAGCCACATGAGAGCTCACTCCTCCGCTGGCTTTGTCAGATGCAAATGAGTCCCTCAGCATTTATCAAGCTCCTACTGTATGCCAGGTGCTGTGATGACATGGTGGACAAGGTACAGAACCTGACCTTGGGGAGTTCACAGCCCAGGTCAGGCCCACAAGTAGACCCTAGTTTTGGATCCTACCATGGGTGGAACAGTAACACCCCCAAGAACCTAGGTGAGTGCCAGCCCAGGGCTCCCCATTCACCACCCTGCCCAGCCAGCCTTAGCCTCCCCATGGCCTCTAGTGAGATCCGGAGATGGCAGAGAACCAGACCACAGTGAGCGGCCAGTGCCGCCTTATAAGGCAGCCCCAGGGAAACTTGGCTGGTGTGGGCCTCGGAGCCAGAGGCGGGTGGCTCCTGGGGGAGGGCGGAGCCAGTAGCCTCCTGCCCAGAGCCACCATGCAGGGGCAGGGGAAGAGCAGGGGCCTGAAGGGGGCAAGGCCGTTCCCTCCCAGGGCCTGAGAGAAGAGCAGGGGTGACCCCGAAGAGCGGCAAGGAGGGCCGGGGCTGGGGCCAGGGGTCAGCAGCCTCAGAAACAAAGAACCCAACACGCCAGAGTCAGACCCGTGGGCTCTTGATCAGGAAACCACTCGATTGATCCCCCAAGGCACCCGTGGGGTCCCTGAGTCCTGTCCTCCTCTCTCCTCCAGCACGCACACTCGAGCTCATGCAGCATGACCGTGTCCAAGTCACTCCCTCCGTATCTCACGGGATCCTTTAGGAAGAACAAAGCCCACAGCCCCGCCCATGAGTGACCCAGAATCTAGTGAGGGCACAGAGGGGGTTCTGAAGAATACACAGCAAGCATTAAGAGTGGATACTGCTGGATTACAGGTGAATTTTAATTTCTTTCTAGTTCCTATATTTTCTGAATTAAAAATAAAATTCTCTGAAAACTATTTTTACATTAAAAAGCCTAGGAGAGGAAAAAAACAATTTACATTCCAAGACAAACATGAGATATTATACATGAGAAAGATGCAAAAAGGCCCAGGAGTCAGAGAAGTTAGGCCACTTGCAGTGACTGAGAGGGCTTCATGGAAGAGGCACCATTTGAGCGGGGCTTTGAAGGATGCATAGGAGTTCAGAAAGCAGTGATGTGAAGAGGAGTAAGGTCGGGGATCAGGGAGCCAGGAGGTCGAGGCAGAGCCCTTGTGAGGAAAAGTGGCCCATGGGAGATGATGAAAGGCCCAGAGCAGGGAGGGGGGAGGTGTGAGTGGGCCGAGACGGAGAACGGATGGTGAGCGAAGCAGCCACGGCTCAGAGCGGGCATGGATCTCATCTGTGCTATGCTTCAGGTGGGTCAATCTGGGGGCAACTCAGCTGGGGCCCCAGAGGAGCCTACCCTGCACCCGAAGCCACAGTCTAAATGGTTTCCCGGAGACAGAGGCCGAGGCTGAGCGTCTGATCAGAGCGTGCAGGGCCCTTCCCTTCCTGAGGTTTTGCCCCCTCAGGGCCAGCTGGCCCTCAGGTATAAGGCCAGTGTGCCCACAGAGGGCAGTCAGAGCAGGACGTGCAGGGTTGGCGGCTTCCGACTCAGCCCCCAGAGGGTCAGAAGGGGACAGGAGATCCGGGTCTGCAGGAAGTAAGGACAGGAAGCAGGGCCACGGGAGAGCCAGACCTGTGCCTGGATGGACCAGCCAGGCCGCAAGCAGAGGGCAGGGCTGAGTGCACAGCCCCTCAGAGCAGGGCTGGGTGGGAGCCTGGGCCTGGGGCCCCCCCCACACCGCTGCGATGCACTCCGGGAACACCCCTGACTGGGAAGGCCCTGCCCTGCACCCGGACTTGCCCAGGACTTCAAGGCTGTGTCAGGGCCACCAGCCCACATCTGGCCTAGCTTCCTCTGCCCTGCATCCCTCCAGGCCCAAGGCTGGGCTCCCTCTGCAGTGACTCTGTGGTGCGATATTTAGGTGAAAAGAATCCTCCCACAGTCACCCAAGCCCCCACCTCCTCCAGCTCCGGCCACTGACCCCAAGTCCAGCTGCATCTGTCCAGCCTCAAGATTCTCAACTAGTGAGTGCTGGTGACAGAGCCCCTCCCCACCCAGCCGATGAGACTCGGGGGGAAGGGGCACAGGAACGGGTGCGAGTTCACACGCATGTACACACATGACAGGCACCCACCCCGACCCCCAGCCCACACTCCAGGGGCAGGGACAGCCTCACGGGGCTGGACTCCCACCTGCTCTCTGATGGGCACCAGCTCAGACACTTAAACTCTCACGGAGAAATCCCGCAGTGCCTGAGTCCAGGAGGTCCCAGACACCTGTGTGCACGGCTGCCCCAGCTGGGACTGCTCTTCTCTCCTCCTCTTTGCCTGGTTAAATCCCACCCTCTGCAGAACGTAGCTGAAGTCAAGGCCCTCCCGAGGCACCCGTGCACTGCTCCTCAGAGGCTGTTTACCGGCTGTCCTGCTCCTGGGGCGGAGTGAGCCTGGTGTCTGGGTCGCCCAGGCTCCCAGCACAGCCTCTGGCATTAAGCAGGGCCTGAGCAGCAACCGCGCTGGCAGAAGTCATTCTTGCACATCCCCAAGGCTGTTCCCCCCTCACCCTGACGACCCAGGGCGGTGCCACCCTGAGCAGACAGCCCCCTGCCCGATCCCCAGAACCAGGACCACTGTCCTGTGCCAGCTGCCATCACCTCTGGATGAGCCCAGTGACGACTGGATCCCCAGTCACATCCTGCTTGACTCAGCTAAGCGTGAACCCCTCACCCCGGGAGGGCGACATACAGAAGACTGTGAGGAAACAGCCTCCGGGCCACTCCCCAAACACAGGCTGTGCTTTCGCCCCAGCACGCCCACACAACCACGGCTGGCGGTGTTTGGGTGGGGGTGGCCCAGGAGGTCAGGTGTAGGGAGCTGAGAGGGGGTACGGTCTGAGGCCTGATGCCCACCCGACAGGCTCAGTCATCCACGCGTCCGAACTAAGACGGCTGCTCCCATCCAAGTGTGAGGAGCCCTGGTGCCACCTGGCACCCCCACCCACGGGGAGCCAAAAGCCCTCCCAGCCCCCATGTCCACTGACCACTGAAAAATATTCATTCAAAAAGGAAAACCAAAAAGGAACTATAACAGGGCCTCAATGGGGCATGTGCGCAGCCAGCCTGGCATCCATCCATCCCACCTGCCGTTTAAGGGGGGGTCTGAGCAGCGTCTGGGACAAAGGGAGGCTGGGTAAGCAAAAGGGGGTCCATCCACACAACGGAACACTACTCCTTAAAAAGGAAGGAGATTCTGACACCGGCTACCGCGTGCATGAACCACGGGGACATGATGCTCATGAGATCCGCCAGTCACAAAGGGGCGGATCTGTAAGATTCCACTTCCATGGGGTACTTAGAGGAGTCAGCTTCGTAGAGGCAGAAAGTAGGAGAGCGGGCGCCAGGGGCTGGGGGAGGTGGGGGAGGAGTTAGTGCTTAATGGGCACAGAATTTCAGTTTAGGAGGATGGGAAAGTTCTAGAGATGGACGGTGGTGATGGCGGCACAACTGTGAATGCCACTAAGCTGTGCTCTTAAAACTGGTTCAGATGGTCAATTTATGGCATGTACATTCTACCACAACTAAAAATAATACCACTTTATCAAAGGTGAATGAAAACTTAGAGCATTCTGTTTGCCCAACCCCAAGAATACTTACTGAATACTTGCTGAGCTCTAAGTCCTGCTCAAAGTGGACCCAGCTTTCCTGGGCTTCCTACCCAGGTGGCACTGAACACAGCCCCATGGGGCCAAGATCACAGACAGTACCCCTCGGCCCCGTGTCCCCCGGCAGACCCGTGTGCCCTGGGGGTCAACGCCCTCTCCCCTGTGCACTCAGCTCCGGGTCTGGGCCCTGTGGGCAGCGCGGAGCCCCTGGCCTCTCTCCCCTTACGAGAAGAGCGCCCTCAGGTGGAGCTGCATACGGGGCGCACAGAGCAACCTGCGCAGGGGCCCCAAGAATCTTAGGTGTCCTGGTTCTTGCCTCTGTCCCTGAGGAGGAGCTAGAGGAACACTTCCCAGCACAGAACCTCAGGTGGGCGCAAATCCCCCCTCCCACCCCACGGTCTGCCTCTGCACGCCCATGCAGGTCAGCCTGCACTTCCTGTCCAGCAGCGGCCTGCTCCTGGGGCCCAGTGGCCACCAGGGTGTGAGAGCTTGTCCCTGCCCCACGCCCCAACATGAGCCTGCCCTCCTCGTTTCCCAGCCTTGCAGAGCCCTGCCGTCCTGGCCTCACACAACAAGGGGTCTACACCACGGCCCATGCTGGCCAGTAAAGGAGTCCCACACAACGTAGAGATGCTTCCCGGAGTCCAGCTCAAGCCCAGACTGCTGCTCCTTGGTCTCCCCCCGTGGACAGGGCCACCGGTCCCCTCCCCAAGCCTCAGGACGCCTTCCCGTGCACCCTCAGGCCTCCACTCCGCCCACATTCCGCTTCTCCGTCTAAGACTCCCTGGCAAGGCTTGCTCCCCGCCCCCAAGTTCCGCAGCACAGAAGGCCCCCAGCTTTTACTCACCCTCCTGGCTCCTGGGCGGGGCCTCGGCTGCAGGAGCCTGGGGCTTGGGCTCCAGCCTGCTCTGCAGTGGAGACATCGGGCTGGGTTCTGAATTCTCCAGGGCCTGGGGTGGGATGGGGGCGGCAGGCACCTCGGCTGGCCTAGGCACCTGGATCTCCACCCTCTTGGAGGCTGCGTCCATGGTGGGGGCGGCGGGTCCCTCGGGGATCCTGGAAGTGGCATTCTCCATCCTCCGGTGGGCTGACTCCTGGGGTTTGACTATGGTGATCTCCGTCCTCCGAGGGGTGGGCTCTGGTGGTGTCTTGTGGCCCAGCGCCTCGGCCCGCTTGAGCCCGAACCGGGATGGCCCGGTGGCACCGGCGCTCTCCACCTGCTTGGATGAGATGTCAATGGAGATCTCGGTGCGCCGAGACACGGGCTCCGCCTTGGGCCCCGGGAGCTCCACCCTGCGCAGGGCAGCCTTGGGGGAGCGCTGGCTTAGGGAGTCTACATGTCGGGCTGCGGGTTCTGAGTTCTTCACACCCAGGTCCTGGAATTTCTGGGTGGAGCTGGCCACAGTGGCCCGGAGCAGGGGGGTCTGGACCCTCCGGGGTGGGGTGGAGTTGGGTGTCTCGACCTCCTCAACCTCAAATGATCTTTTCAAGGCTGAAAGACAGAGAGAGGAGGAGGTGATGAGCGGACAGCTCGGGAACACCCAGGAACATGCTGCTAATGGTGAACATCAGAAGGTATGGCAGGCATGCTGCAGCGGGGGTCCCCCAGGACACTCCTGCATCTGCTAGGGGTCTCACAGGCCCCAGCCGTCACACACGCTGAGAGAGAGAAAAGGCTGGGGCCTGGAGGATGCCGACCCTTCTGTCCTCCCATGGCCACGGTGTGGCCCCACCAGTCACATGGTCGGCAAGGATACTTCAAGGTGCGCCCTCGGTTCCTGTCTCATCGAGGACTCCCTGGATCCCACCTCATCTCCACGGACACCATCAGCAAACACACAGCGGCGGCGGCAGCGTGGGAAGGCGGGAAGACTCCTCCCCAACAATACTAGCCACACCCACAACCAATCGGAACCACCAGGGGAGTGACAGCATCCTATTGTAGCTCATTGAACCCCAACACTGGAACTTTTAGTACAAGCAAGGTTCTGGGCTTACTGTGCACAATCTCATTCCTCACAATATCCCCTGGAATAAATGGGGAACCTGAGGCCCTGGAGCTTAAGCAAACTGCCAACAGCACAGAGAGTGAGTGGCAGAGCCAGAAGCCACGTATGTCCCATGCTGAGGCCCAAGGTTCTAGCCGCTTGGCTGCTCAGCTCCTGGTGGAGTAACGCGGGGCCCTGGCATGGGGCCAGCTCTCTCTGTCCTCTCCCTGGGCTGCATCTGCCTCCATTCTTCACTACCTGGCCAGCCAGACCAGGGCCAGTGGGGCACTGACCATCCAGACTTCCACATTGCAGCCCGGCTGCCCACCATCTATCTCCACCAGAACCTGCCCCCTGCAAGCCTGTGGGGACAGTGCCTGGGAAGCCATCCTCCCCACAGTCCCAACAGCCGGGCTCTAAAAGGAGAACCAGCTGCTCCCAGTTACAAAGAGGAGAGCAGGAAAGGGCCCACGTGGCGGGAACACTCACTCACCAGCACCCTCCCGGCCGGGCCCCCGGCAGGCCCTCGGTGACCACAGCGCCTGGCCCACCCCCGCCCCCTCGGAGCCCGGGAGCTCATGGGACCCCACCGTTCACTCCCTCCCCTGCCCACAGCTGCTCCCCAGCCCCCAACAATAGCTCTCAGGGGACATTCTTAGCAGCCCTGCCCTCCAGTCTTCTTTCCCCCGAATCCCAGCACAGCCCTTTTCCCTCCCTACCCCTTCAGGGGACCAGGGCTGGGGGCGGCCAAGTGGGTGGTGGGTGGCCAAGGCAGTGTGTGCTCTCGAGCGCCGGAAATGACAGGAAGCCAAGGAGGCCCTCACATCAGCCACTGGAGCTCCCGGTTCCCCAAATGTGTCACTGCTGTGGGACCCTCTCTAAGCCCCCGGCACAACTCCTTCTCAGTGTACAGGGCACAAAACCCTGGGACACAAGCCTCAACCATCCCAGAGACCCTCTGGGGACTGGAAATGAGCTCTGAGGGAGGGGACTTGCACAGATCTGGGAAGCTGACACGCGTCGAGAGCTGTTTCAGGCACAAGTCTGCTGCTCAACTCTGTGGGGGCAGCACATGCCCAGTGGGCCACAGCTTGGGGCTTCTTGAGATAATCTGGATATTTTTATATCTCCGATTTCTATGGGCCACCACAAAGTAAAATTATCCTTTTAAAGGCACTACAATCAAAGAAAATCACATCTTCAGGCCTCATTTGGCCTGAGGGCCTGTGACCTCTGGTTGATAACGTGGCCAAGGGCAGCAGGGATGTGCCAGCACAGGGACTCCAACTTGGTGCATCTCTGCCCATCCCGTGGAGGCCATCCACCAAGATAAGGCAGAGGGCAGACTGCCCTTGAAGTGCCCCAGGAACAGGGCAAGTGCCTGTTAAACTGGCAGAAAAGACCAGAGCTGAATGCCCAGAACTGTGTCCTCACATGGCTCCAGGGCCTCCCAAAGCACTTTGCCTCAAGGCTGTCCAAAGCCCCCCAGCCCACCGTGGCAGAGGCATTTCCAGGTGTCCTTGTGCTAGTTCCTGGGGCCAAGCTGGAGAACAGAAACCAGGTGGGTAAGGGCCTTTTCCCACGTCTGCCCCAAGGGACGCACCCCCTCCCTGGAAGTCCCAGCACGGTCCACACCCCATTTGGGGAGCCCATTCAGAGACATCCCGACTGCTGGCTCACGATTTGAGGGCCTGCCCCAAAGCTAAGCCATCTGTGACACACGCACTGCGGCTGAACTGCCCTGACTGAGCCCCAGAACCGCATCCCAGGACACCTGTATGGCTGGAATGCACCACGAGGCCACCCACATCACCCTGAGGGGCACCCCGCCCACCACCCTCCCCTCTCCAGCCACACTGAGTTCCTTCTAGGCACGTCACCCCCGGGCCCCCTAGCACCTGCATGCGCATCGGCTGCACCCGCTTACCTAGGCCTTTACCCTCAGGCACCGTCCCATCCCCCTAGGTCCCTGCCCCCAGAGAATGGACTGTCCCCACATCGGGACGGCGACTGTTCTGGATGATTGACGCCATACTCCCAAACAAGCACACCTTCTCCTCTTCCTCTGACCTCAGGTCACCCCAAAGCCAGGCTTGCTCTTACCTCTTCCCAAAGACCCCTGGCCCTACACGGCTCACACCCTCGCCCCCTGTCATCCAGCCCACGTTCGAGGCTGCCGGCTAGCCTCAGGAGGGAGTCTGGGGTGCCCTCTCCTCCCTTACACCGCAAGCCGGCTCTCCAGCCCTGCAGGGGCCTCAGCGGCTGCTTCTGCAAGGCCAGTGGGACCACAGGTTTGTAGCCATGGGCATGGAGCCCTGGGGGAGCCCCAAAGAACGGGCCTCAGGAGCAGGGAGGCACCAGGTCTTCACCCCATGTCAGCCTGAGAGAGGAACGCCACTTCCCTCTAAGGTTCTGTAGTGGGTGAACAGGGTCACCCAAAAAGATATACCCCAGCCCTAACCTCTCTGCCCCCGAGGCTGTGAATGGGGCCACATTTGGAAAACGGGTCTTTGCAGATGGGACTGAGCGTAAGGATTCCAGAGGACATCATCCTGGATTTAGGATGGGCTCTAAATACTGTAAGTGTCCTCACACGAGGGGCATTTGAGACACAGCGATGGCCACGTGAAGACAGAGGCAGACTGAGTGACGCGGCCCCAAGGCAAGGACAACCTGGGGCCCCAGGAGCTGTAAGAGGCCTGGCGGATTCTCCCCTCGAGCTACCAGAGAGAGCATGGCCCTGCTGACGCCTTCATTTTGGACTTCTGGCCTCCAGACCTACGAGAAAATCAACCTCTGTTGTTCAAGCCACACAGTGTGCAAAGCCCCAGGAAGTTAGCGGGGAACCATCAGAAGGAGGACACCTCTGGGCTATGAGACTGTCGGGGGCCTCTTCTGCCGGAGCCGTCACCCACCCTGCACTCCAGCCCCTCTCCAGCCCCAACTCCACTTAAGATCCAATGGACAGACCAATGGAAGCATCCAGAGCTGCGGTGTCCAGGGACCCAGAGGAGAAAAAGCTGCCTCCTTTCCCCTTTCCTGGAATCATGCAAAACCCCAGATGGCAGGGGGATAGTGGTCAGGGAGGACAGCACTGCTCTGCATTTATACCAGAGTGCTTGGCGAGGAAACAAGATCATTCTTTATGGCAGGCTTTGCGAGGCACATCCCATGTGCAGCTGCCTCCCCGCGGAGGGCGATGTGAACATGAACAGCACCCAGCTGGGAAAAATTAGGAGACAGCTTGTCACGGAGCTGGCAGGACGGGGTCCTCCAAAATCTCCTCCCCCATCAGAGTCTTAAACACATACCCGGGTCCTCTATGTACACAGCCACCCTCCTTGGAAGGCCCCTCCACCACCCCCATTGGGGAATGGGTGCAGCTTGCCACGCAGTGGGTGCTTTCCCCTTCACCTCGTCCTGCCTCCAACCCGTGGAGAGAGAGGCAGCCAAGGAGTGTCCACATGTGGCCACGGAAGCCTAAGAGCCCTCATGGCTTGTCGAGTTGCAGATTTGAGACTCCTAGTGACCACATGTTGGCTTTGATGACCAAGTGAGCAGAAAAGTGGCCTTCGCTGGACCAGCACAGAGGGGAGCATGCTGGGCTGCCTCATCCAGCATCTGCAGGACGTTAGTGCAGTCAGAGGGCACACGAGAGAGCCCAGTTGGGCAGGGCCAGCCAGACCGCCACAGAGCATCTGGCAAATATGAGCCAGGTCGCACAGGGAGGGTCCCCACATTGCCACCCAGAGGGACAAGTACTGCCAACTCCCAAAGAGCAGGGGGTGCCCACTTCTGTTTATGCCGCTTCCAAGACAAGAATGCCCCCTTCAACCTCCTCTGAATCCAAGTCCCGCCAAAGCCCGGCCAACCTCGCCTGCTCCCAAAAGCCCTCACTGGCCCTTCTCCAATGTGCGCTGAGAGCCTGACGGAGATTCACGCGCTGTGACCCACTGCCGGGGATTTACCCCAAGGAAATAATCAGAAGGACAGAAAGATTTATGTGTGGCGACATTTACATCAGCATGAAAACAGCAAATGCTGGAAACAATTCAGGTTTACAGAGATTTTCTAAACCCATATGTTCAGTCCTGCACAGTCATCAAAAACATGGTTCTGAAGATGAGAAACACTACGAATACTAAGAAAAAATAGCAGGATACAAGATGTACACAGAGATCCTGACTTCCTCTCGCACACACATGTGCGGCATGCATGCACACACCCAGAAACCACTGTCTCTGGATGGAATTCGGGGGTGGGGTGTCTCTCCAGGAGCTGGAGATGTTTCGCAGCATGCCGCCTCTATGCGGGGGTCACTTAACACTTACAGGGGAAACACCCATCAACCCTGCTTCTAAAACACAAGCCTCGCTGAGGACAGGGGAGGCTGTGGGCACCCGTGTGCAGTGGGGCTGGACCCGCTTCTCCCCGTAGCCCACTCCTCCCCAGTACATTAAACACCTACAGGCTCAGCGGCTGCAGAGGCGGGAGCCAGCCACCA